GGCTAGTTGGTTTTCTTTCTCTTTTTTTATGCTTATTTTTTGGATTTTTGAGACAGGCCCAACCCAGTGTGGGTGGAGCCATCCCTGGGCAGGTAGTCCTGAGTTCTATAAACAAGCAGGCTGAGCAAGCCATGGGGAATATGTCAGTAAGTAAGCTTCCTTTCTCCTTGGCCCCCAGGTGCCTGCTCTGCCTGAGTTCCTGCCCTGATTTCCTTCAACGATGAACAGTAATGTGGAAGTGTGAGTCAAATAAATCCTTTCTTCCCACGTCACTTTTGGGCCTAGTGTTTCATCACAGCAAATCACCCCTAACTAAGACACAGGTCAGTCAGCCCCATCTTCACTTAGAAGATCATCTCCATGACCTAGGAGAGGGACTGCTGCATGGGATGAAGGCTCCTTACAGTCTACAGAAGGAGTGGCAGCTATGCTGCTGCTGCTGACAGAGATGAAAAAGGCTTTTCCTCAAAAGTCAAAATACACCCCCTGCACAACCCCAAAACATGGTTTCACTATCTGACTATCCTGGAGCTCACTCTGTAGACCAGGCTGGTCTCAAACTCACAGAGATCCACCTGTTTCTGCCTCCTGAGTGCTGGGATTAAAGGTTTATATCACTAAGCCTGGCACCAAAAGTCAAAAAATTTAAGGTCAGTTTGGGGAAGCATGTAAAAGTTCTTACATTGATTCCCAAATATCAACCATTACAAGTTTTAAAATGCTAGAATCAAGACCATGTGCTGTTCCTGCAGAGACAACCACTTCCCACCAGTAGTAGGCACCTACCTCACAACTGCCTGTAACCCCAGCTCCAGGAGAATCCGAGGTGCAGAGTCTCCAAGAGCACTTGTTTGCATTTAATTTTTATTTAAAAATAAATCCAAAACCAAAATCTTTTAAAAACCGGAAAACAGGCTATGAGGAGGTCTGTCATCCTAGCACCTGGGAGAGGAAGGCAGAAGGATCAGGGGTTCAAGACCACCCTCGGAGCCGGGCGATGGTGGTACATGCCTTTAATCCCAGCACTCGGGAGGCAGAGGCAGGCGGATCTCTGTGAGTTCCAGGCCAGCCTGGTCTCCAGAGCAAGTGCCAGGATAGGCTCCAAAGCTACACAGAGAAACCCTGTCTCGAAAAACAAAAAACAAACAAACAAACAAAAAGACCACCCTTGGCTACATGTGGGATCTGAGAGCCTAGCACACACAAGACCCCTCTCAATAAGACAAATCGAACAAAAAGGAGGGGAAACTAGAAGATCAAAAGAGGGAACAACGGTTGCAAAGCAGGCAGAGGACTGAGCTCAGCTTCGAGGTACAGTTAGGGTCTGATATACACCAACGATAGTGACATATTGTTTATGATTTATTAAAGCTGGCCTGAGGATTCAGAAAGCTGAGTCAGCCACAAGCCATAGAAGCCAGGCACACACCTTTAGTCCCAGGACTCAGGATTAAGAGGTAAACAAATATCTGTTAGTTCAAGGCTACGGTGACTACATGACATGGATCCAGTATTAAGAGAAACAGCTCATACAAAGATGATCTCAGAACTTGGTATCACATGCCTTTAATCCCAGTACTAGAGATGTAAGGTATAAAAGATAGGAGCAGGGTCTTCAGTAGTCAGTCTCATGATCCTCTCCAGCCACACTGAGGAGAGGCAGCAGGATCAACCCTTTTAGCCTGAGGTAGTGGTAAGATCTAGAGGCCAGCTGCTTTGCTTTTCTGATCTTCAGGCTAGCTTTAATAAATCATAAATAATATATCACATACCAGTGGCTTCTCAGCCTTCATAACGTTGAGACCCTTTAATACAGTTCATGTTGTGGTGACCCCAACCACAAAATTATTTTTTTGTTTCTTCATAAATATAATTTTGCTACTGTTATGAATTGTAATGTAAATATCTGATATGCAGGGTATCTGATAAGCAACCTCCAAAGGGGTTGTGACCCAGAGGCTGAGAGCCACTGCTCTACACTAACAAGGACTGAAGCTGTATCCCCAGGGAGCAGAGGCTTGCCAAAGAGAGGAAGTGCAGGTCAACTTTCTGGCCCAGCTGGGAAACTCTCACCTCAGAACTCACAACCATATCACGGAGGTCACTTAGGTACATTGGATACTGAGTGTTAGATCAAATTAACATGTTGGAGACAACAAAGTAAAAATGACCAGAATGTTCCAAGTGTATGGAACAATATGAGGAAAAATAAAGGGAGGTAGGCTTATGCAGCTGTCTCAGCTCGGACACATTTGTGTGGCTCATTCCTTTGATTCTCAGGATGAGAAAATGCGGAGAATTCAACAGAAGGGGCCCCATTAACACTGCCAAAGGTAGGCTAAGGTGAACAGGGTCTTGATTGGTCGCCACAGTTGAGCCATTCAGATCTAGATGAATCAGAAGCTTCTTCCAATCACTCTCTCTCATTCACTGTCCAGGTTTGAGGTTTCAGAAAGCAAAGCTTAGTTTTCACTAACAAGGGAACCATTTGATCCCTAAGCTCTGCAAGGGTTGGGTGACTGCCAAAACATTTCTCAAACAAGAAGCAAACATGATAAAAATGAGCCCAAACCAACTTGCGCTTCGACATTATCCCACTCTTGGAATGTTCACCACTTTGGAACCCTGTTTTGTTTTTCAAAATGAAGCTGGATTCTTTCTGATGCCCAAGGCTCCTCATCCCCCACCCTTCTGGCTCAAGATCCTGGAGCAGCAGCAGAGCCAGCACGAGAAGTGCTGCAGGAAAAGGAAACTGGGTTTATTTTAGACAGGAGAGGACTCTGTTACATACTCTAAGAATTCCAGAGGGAACGAAAGGTCATGAGAGAAAGGAGAGGGGAGTCAGTGCTGGATTGCCTGGTGGGAGGTGAACAGTAAGTAGAGGGACGGGACAGCAGTGCAGAAAGCGAGGGAATCCCCAAAAGACAGAGTGACAGAAGGAGAGGAGAGGAGAGGTGCTCCAGGCAGCTGGAATGATGGATGCAGTCATTAGTATGCTTGCACTGGCAGGATGCCCCATGACAGGCCAAAATGGAGGGACATTTCTGAGAGTGTAGTTTACACAGGGGCTCCATCCTGTCCTCCCTCCATCTTCCTCTACAAACGCTTTTGGAGAATTTAGAATCTTACCAGTCAGAACTCTCTCCTTCCTATAAAAACAGGCTTATGGTGGAAAGGGTGTCAGTGTGACTACTCAGAACAACTCCATTTTATGTTTTTTTGCCTTAGCCACCTGAACTTGGAATTCCTTGGCTCTAGCCTTCCTTATGCATGGACCTCACCCTGAAGCCCACTGACTCAGAAAATGTACTTGTGGAGCAAATGACAGCATCTCAAGCACAGTTCAGCAGGCCACACCTGCACTGCCTTAGGGGCCAGCTGCTCCCTCTTCCCTCTCCTTACTGTGTCCCAGCCACAACCTATTTCTTCCACATACCACTCATATTGTCACTCAAGGGCCTAGAATTGTCTTCTCCCTGAATCCTCCAAAACTGCTCCCTTCTCACTCCACAAAGGTCCTCCTGCCCTGGTTATGTGAGGCAGTGTCCCCTCCCCTGTTCCCATCCTCCTCATTCTACCCTGTCTCTTGACACATACTGAGTGAAGATGGTTTCCCTCTTAGAACTCTCAGAAATACCATGGTTTTTCTTTGTTTTTTTGGGGGGATGGGGGGTCAATACAGGGTTTTTCTGTGGCTTTGGAGGTTCTGGAACTCACTCTGTAGATCAGGCTGGCCTCGAACTCACAGCGATCCGCCTGCCTCTGCCTCCCCAGGGCTGGGATTAAAGGCATGCACCACCACTACCCTGCTGAAATATCATGTTCTTAAGAGCACTCCCAGCACAGGACCTGGCACACAGTAGGCCTGGTGTAAATACTGTGTTTGCTTGAGGCCGGGCTGTGGCCTTGGCTGTTAGGGAGCATGCTCTGTAGACGAGGCTGGCCTCCAATCAAAACAGCACTTTCAAACACTTTTCCTTAGCATGCTTTACAACAGAGCTGAGAAACTTTCACCAATTCTTTGTGTTTCAGTCTTATCTGACCTCAAGGGAAATGGCAAGCAGTCACTACCATATTGCAAAAGCACAGGAAGCACTGTGAGCTGTTTACAACAACATTTGGGTTTTGTTGTTGTTGTTCTTGTTTTTCTCAAACAGGGTTTCTCTGTATAACAGTCCTGACTGTCCTCGAACTCACTCTGTAGACCAGGCTGGATCTCAGAGATATCCACCTGTCTCTACCTGCTGGGATTAAAGGCGTGTACCATCACCACCTGGTTCACACAGCACTTTGTAGAAGACACTAGGGAGTGACTTAAGGTCTGTGGGATGGGAATCAGAGGGTCTGCATCTGTGTTTGTGGGCACCTTCCCCTTCCTGTCTTCTTCAGTGTTCAATCAAGTCTATGCTTCCTGCTTTGGAGCAACTGCTTTCAGTAGCTTGAGGACCTCAAAGTAAATTATTCCAGGTTCTGGTTTAAAACAGGGAAGTCTCACACACTGCCCTAAACCAGCCATGTTCTCTGCTAAACTCAGGGAGTGCTTTCATGCCACCCATGGATAAAAACGGTACTAAAGCAAATCAAGTCGTTCTTATGGCGCCTCCCTTGTATGTGCGACACATGACAGGAACCTCTTCCAAATAGCAGAGGGCAATGCACAGTGTCCTGCTCTATTTTATTCCCTTCAGACAGGGTCTCTCACTGAACTTAGAGGAGGCTGGCAGGCAGCAAGCCCAGCCATCTTTCTGTCATTGCTCCCACAACTCTACAGAGTCATAGGTGCACAGAAAGTCAAGCTCAGCTTTAAACAAACAAGAAGGTGCTAGGGAGTTGAACTCAGGTCCTCCTGCTGGAGTAGCAAGGGCTCTTCCCAGACTGGACAGACACCATAAGCAATCTGGCTTCTGAATGAGCCCCTTCCCTGGGGAGCAGGGAGGCCACACACAAGAACCACCCCCCAAAAGGCCCAGAACACAAAGCACACACAGGTCCATGCTCACCACTTCATCCTCTGTCCAGCACTTCTCGATCAGCTTGGGCACAGGCTTCTTTACCAGGCGCTGCAGGGCTTTGCCAGCATCGTAACTGCTTTCATGTAGCTGAGACAACAATGACCTTAGTTAATTAACTGTACCACATAGACATGGAGGTAAATCAATAACTGCAACTCCCATGCCTTTATTTTATGAATATATGTGTATATCTATTTACCTATTTATCTCTAGAGGAATCTATCTATCTATCTATCTATCTATCTATCTATCTATCTATCTATCTATTCATCCACCTACATATTTCCAGAGAAACCTTGGAAGGGCAATATTTTATTGTAACATACTGTCACCAGACCACTGCCCTCCCCGCCTAACCCCATTCCAGTTGTTAGGACTGTCCCTCTATGGTACAGGTGTTGAAGATTTGGCTCCCTGCATGATGTTACAACTTGTCAAGCAACCACACACAGAAACCTCTGAACTTATGGGCAAAATAAACAAACCTTTTATCTTCCTAAGATGATTCAGCTCAGGTATTTGTTACAGTAATAGAAAACTGATCTGCACAGGGAAGGAGACAAATAAAGCAGAGAACATTCTGGCAATAAGAAAAGCATCAAGGTTGGCAGTGGTGGTGCACCCCTTTTATCCCAGCACATGGAGGTAGAGGCAGGTGGATCTCTGTGAGTTCAAGGCCAGCCTGGTGTACAGTGTGTGTCCGGGACACTCAGGACCACCTCGGAAAAACCAAACAACAACAACAAAAACCCACAAAACACCAAAGCTGACATCTGTAGAACACGTCTGGCTTGGTGCTCAGCACGTGTGGGCATTGACTGATCCTATGAGAAAGACACACCCTTATTTAATCTCCTGAGATGAGCACCATTGTCAAGCCATTCCCCAGGAAAGATGCCCACATGAGGTGGAAGCCAAGGCTCAGACCCAGCAATCAAGCCTCATGCTCTTGTTCTTTTCTATTTGCTTGTTCTAGTATTTCCAAACGGGGTTTCTTTGTGTATCATTGGCTGTCCTGGAACTCACTCTATAGACCTGGCTGGCCTTGAACTCACAGAAATCAGCCTACTTCTGCACTCCTAATGCTGGGATTAAAGGTGTGCGCCACTATGCCCAGCTCTTGTTCACCGTTTTGCTCTGTTTCCAGACAAGGTCTCATTCTGTAGCCTAGGCTGGTCTTGAACTCGTTCAGCCTCCCAGGTGCTTTATGACAGTTGTGAGCTACCGCGGCCAGCTATTCTGGTCACATACTTTCCAAAGCAGCCCATGGGTAGACCAGATTCTTTTCTAGTCTTTTTAGTAAAGTACTTAACTAAAAGTAATTAAAAGGGTCCATAGTACAGACTTCCAAAAGACATACTTTTGTAATGGCAGTGGTGATGGAAGAAACTGAGCCTTTAGAGCAGATTCTTTTCCTGTCAAAGTCACACAAGCCCCCCAGTGCAGTGCTGAGCACCGCTGTCCTGCAGAGGCCTTCTGCTGAGGCCTCTATGTCCTCCTCTTATCAGATACTACAGACAGCACTGGGCAGAAGGAGCCTCATGCTTACCTCCCCTGGCTGAAATCTGCCTGTCTCCCCATGGCAGGCCCTCCCACACAGTTTGTACCCCAAGATGACCCTATAGACATGCTTGCTAAACTAAGTGAAAGAATAAAGGTCTTCAATTACGGTCCAGCACAAGTCGAAACTTCAGTTTACCCAGAATTATTAAGCTATTATCATCTAATCTCTGGGGCCGGTCATCTTCCAGACACACAAAAGGAATAGTCAGATGTTCATACTCTGCCTAATACCTAAAACAAGCAGGCATTTTCCAAGTTCTCTAATATAATGAGAGCTTTTTTTTTTTTTTTAAATAATGAAAGCTTTTAATGATTTAACACAGAATGAAACTGAACTGAATTTTAAAAGCACATATTTTAGTGGTAATTTAAAATAAAACTAAGTGATAAAATTGAAACTTCTAATAAAAAGCTCAGGGCAAAAAATTTTAACAGTGACTCTCGTGTATGGGGTAACTCACAAGAGTGAGTCTTGCTGGACTAGGGAGAGCTTTAAGCTACAGCTGGAGAAACAGGGGTGGCTACCAGACATGTGGCTGCTGACTTGTCAGAGAATTTGCAGGTGCCTGCACAAGACCCTAGTTCAGCTGACTCTCTGGTGGGGTGGTGAACAGAGGGAGAGGTTCCCCTGCATACATGCCTCCATGTGGACATGCTTCAGGCCACACTGTCCCCAGAAGCAACCCCGATGGTAGTTTGACGGTCCTGGGCTCTTGGGTTTGTGCTCTCCATGGACACCTGACCCGCTGTCAGCCTACTCTCTTAGGATATCTCCATTCCTGGCTTCTCCCACACTAAGCTCACTCAGTACTTAAGAACCACCACCTATCCTTTCCCCCAAAAAACAAACCTGGAAAGTTACATATGTGAGATTATTTGCCAAAACGATGAACTTTCCTGGAATGAATAAAGCTTTGGTATGGCACTATGCTGCATTGGAATGTGACAGACAGATGGCTGTTCTGCATACCCTCTTAGGAGGGAACCCCAGGGAATCCTGTGAGAGGGACACCACCTTTAAAGAAATCCATCTCAGTTACATGCATGTGTGTCTGAGTGTGCATGCATATAACCGCAGGCTCCTGTGGAAACCATGACCCCATGACCCCTTGGAGCTGGAGTCACAGGTGGTTGAAATATGTCTGACACGGATGCTGGGAATCAAACTCAGGGGCCTGGGGTCTGTGTGGATGTCCAAATCTGTGCTTCCTGTGGCATTGCTTCTTCTTCAGCTGTGCTTAGCCACACATTTCCTGTGCCATTGTCTTTGTTGTTCATAACTTGTCTGCCTCCGAACCTCAAAAGAAGGCCTGGCACAGGTGTGCACAAAATGGGTCCACAGGGAGGGGACGGGGTGAGGAGGTCCTGCCCTCCAGGCTTCCCCAGTGTGCTCTGGAGATAGCCTAGCCTGTTATGGAGCTGCATAGGCCACAACCACTTGTGGGATATTAGATATGTACCTTCAGTGAAACACGATTACAGTTGCACGTTCTCCCTCCAGCCGCCAATCTCCCTTTCCACTGTTTGAGTTAACTGCACTCCAGAACTAGAAGTGTTTGGGCGTGGTCACTCTGGAGTGTGATGGGAAACCTCAGACAAGAGAATTTAGGGTTCCCAGCTGTCCTTGGCCGGAAGCTGCCTGAAGCCTTGTCCTAGACTCACTCTGTAGCCCTGGCTGTCCAAGAGCTTGCTACGTAGACCAGACTGGCTTTGAACTCACAGAGATCTGCTTGCCTCTGCCTCTGCCTCTGCCTCTTGAGTGCTGGGATTAAAGGCAGTGGGTGTGTCACCAAGCCTGGCCCTACATCCCCCCTTTTGTTTTTTGAGACAGGGTTTCTTTGTGTAGCTTTGGCTGTCCTGGAACTCACTCTGTAGACCAGGTTGGCCTAGAACTCACAGAGAACCACCTGCCTCTGCCTCCCGAGTGCTGGGATTAAAGGGAACACTTTTAAAAGTTCTGTTTTTAGCTTTCAAAGCAGTGATTGTAAAGGTTGAGCATCAGAGCACCAATACTTACACCAATGACTGACCCATTCAGGAGAAATGAGTGTTTTTTGTCAGATGTGGTGGAAGGTATCTATAACCTAAAGTATTCCTTCCTCTTTCTTCTGTTTAAAACTGTATCACACAGGGCTGGGAAGATGCTCAGCACCTAAGATCATTGGTTGTCTTACAGAGGATGGGTTCAGTTCTCAGCACCGCATGGTGCCTAACACACATTTATTACTCCAGTTCCGGGGAATCCAATACCCTCTTCTGGTGTCCATGGGCACCAAGCACGCACATGGTGTACATATACATACATTCTGGCAAGCACTCATACACTTAAAAATAAATAAATCTTTTAAATTAAATCTTTCTAGTGTTATTTAACATGTAAATTGTATTGCTATACATAAGATGACTTCATGAAAAATTCCAGAAATAAACAATTCATAGATGCCACGTAGCTTTTTTTTTTTTAAGATTTATTTATTTATTATGTATACAACATTCTGCCTCCATATATGCCTGCACACCAGAAGAGGGCAACATGTCTCATTACAGATGGTTGTGAGCCACCGTGTGGTTGCTGGGAATTGAACTCAGGACCTCTGGAAGAACAGCCAGTTAACCTCCGAGCCATCTCTCCAGCCCTCATGTAGCTTTTTTATGGTATATTGTTATAACTATTCTATTAGTGGTTTATTTTTATTAGTGGTTATTAATCTACTAATATGTTTTATTTAAGTTAAACTTTATCATTCATGTGAATATTTGAGGAAGCACCTGGTGTATGTAGGTAATCCCTTGCATTTCAGTTATCTACTAAGAGTCTTGGAAGCTTTCTCTCACTGGTAAAGGAACAATGGTAGTTTTTAAAGATGTGAAACTACCATCCGTCCTGCCCGAGCTTTCTCAGACCGATTCCTGTCAAGAGGATGTGAGTGACTGTCACATCAGGATGGCATCCCTGCTCCGGGCGCACACCTTCAATCCCAGCAGTCAGAAGGACAGTCAGGACTACACAGAGAAACCTTGGATTAAATGCAATCTTCATGGAAAGAACAGGAACTGTGCATTTTAGAACTACTGGGAAAAAAAGGGGGGGAGCAGGGACCACAAAATAGCACTGTGACTCAATTTTCCTGTCTTGGAAAGCAAGTGAGGGTAGAGGCACCTGCCACCCACTCCCACTAAAGTGGGATGTCACTTAGGGGTTGAAAATTACCCCCGGGGGGGGGGGGGGGGGGGGGGAGTGCCATGAATTTTTGGTTGTTGTTTTATTTTAGTATTGTTCGTTTGTAGCCAACTAGGATTTAAGGATGGGGACCTGGTAACAAAGCAGGGATTCTTCACGAATCTACCAGCTTTCACATGGCTCCATCATAATTTGCTCTTTCCTATCAAGTGTCCTGTGGGTCCTGGATTGGACAAAGGCTTGACCAAGATGTGTCCTTTCCTTTATTTTTGGCATACCCTTGTCAAAGAACACACATAAACTCTTCCTCTGGGGCCAAGGCACTGAGCAACTCTACATGCTA